TTATGAGATTTGCAAATCATTGCATTCTGTTTTTATTCACATTATACACACTGTCCTGACTTTTTGTAACTGATTACAGCTGTCTACAAAGCACTGCCTTATAAGTAAGTGCAGTGTTTCCTTATATATATGAATATATATTTCTTATATATAGTATGTATATATTTAACTAGCCATAGTTTTCAGGGTTTTCCCTTAGCCTACTTGCCCAGTGTTCCAAGTGATCCAAGCAGGTACTAAAATGTGATGTTGTCAGACTGCACGCCACCAATTGGCTGGTCAGTAGGGTTACTCGATGAGTCATGAGAGCGTCTCGTTTATGAAAACCAGAGACCTAGCACCAGGTATTGCGTTGCCTTGACACCTACCTTTGTTGTAGTGTTTGTTTTACATACTAATTTCATCACGGGACGACAACAATGTACATTAGGTAGTAAACCCTGTGAAGTCGTGGTGATCCATGGCGAGTTGATCCAACTAGGTACTAATACAAAAGGTTCTTTTGATTTAAGGAGAGCAGGGCTGAGCGCATAGCAGTAATCCACAACTTGTTGTTACAATAAACAAGATTATTTTTAAACTAAATTCTCAGGAGTGGACCCCAACAGACTAAGAGACTTGGAGAGTATAATCCCAACCTAAGGTGGAGCAAGATAGAGGACAACTTAAAAACGTAACATGGACAGTGTAAAAAGCACGTATGCATAAACAACACTGTCAGGAATATTTAGAGGATCTAAGCATGCTGCACTTAAATATGTAAAAGGAGAATTGGAGATGCAATACCAAGAAAAGAACAAACAGCTGACCCAAATTTCTAAGAAATTAGCAGTTGGTCAAATAGTATGATTCAGGGCGTGCACATCAGAAAGAAATGTATTTAGGTTTGAAAACAGAGTTAGAGGAATATATAAACTCAATAATGCATGATATCAGAATGTTTCTATGTCTTACATAAGATTGAATATATATATATATATATATATATATATATATCATGGAGAAATCAAAAATATGCACCATTTGCCTTCTCTCACCGAGTAGAATCATTGTTGTTTGACTCATCATGAGAGGCAGAGAGCCTTAGCCTGAAGCACCCCCTCCTCTCTACATCCCTAATGTCTACCATTAAGCCTGTTTTGACAGAAGATTACGTGGCGCCTTTCTTTTAACTGTAGGAGGCCGTCCACCCACTCTGCTCTTGTGGCAGTACAGAAGAATGTGAAGGTTGACCAGAAACATTATTCTCATTATTCTTTGATGGAAATCATAGTCACAGCCACATATGTGGAAAAAACCCCGCAAAGTCTCACTTCACTTTTTATGGTTTGACATCGTCCACATTTGAAAGAAAGCATTAATAAAATCGCATTGCTGGAAAATTTCAATTTTGAATGTCTTTTGTCTTCACTGGCAAACAAAGCAGAAACTATGGTCAAACTGAAGGACAAGAAAATCCATGAAAACCCCATTCTGCAACTCAAAGACTTACCCCCGACATCCCACCACCAGACACTAATTATGGCCAAAAGGATACTCACAATTACTTTAATCAATATTGAGATCACTACTATTTCTCACAACCTTACCTTGATTTTAGTGACAAAACTGTTTTTAATGGACTGTCATTTGAACACTGCTTTCACATCCATGTTGTTCTACATTCTTACTACAGCAAACTAAAATTGGTCCTCCAAAGTCAACTAAATTCAGTGCATCTCTAAAAAATAAAGAAAAAGAAAAATCGCTCGGCTTTCTCATTAACCTTGTTCTACATTCCCGTTTATTAAGTCCCTCTCTTAGAAGGACAATAGAAAGTGTTTCACTTCGTACCTGCATAATGGATGTGAAGAAAAAATCCAGAGAAAAGTATTCAACATCTGTGAGATCCGTTTTTCCTTCCATGTGATGTTTTGCATACTGTACAGTGGAGGTATTGCCAATTAGAGTAAATCATTGCGTGAGGGGATAACATATCTTTGGTTGATCACTAAATCGGAAGTATTTGCTTTGAGAAAAAAGCTCTTCACCTTCTGCTGTTACAGACATTTGAATGGATGATTGTTGTATGCCCGACCGTGAAATGCATAAGTGGAAGAGGATGGATTGATGAATGGATGGATTTGTCTTGTGATGTAGTGTTACTCATCCAGGAAACATCAAGCAGCATAGTTACAGTGCACAGTTTTGACTGGCACATGCAGGCACATCGTCAGGCATTGTTCTAGGGTTGCTTTTGCTTTGCATTTTAATTGGCTCAGCAGGCATTTTTTAATATTACTTAATAATGTTAATTTAATTGTAGGAAAACAAAATTATGATCAAGATTCAAATTCGACTGTGCAGTCCTAGTCCTATCGTTCTTCACTATGGGGGCACGAGTATGAATGTGCCCCTGTAGTGAAGCAGTGCAATTTTTCTGGATTACTTGCAGGAATTTGAAGGGATTAATCATTTTATGAGTCTGCTGATCTCCAAGTGAGAGTTTATAACACTGAACTAACAGCTTTTTTATTTTTGAGTACAATTTGCTCTGTATGTAAATGAATATTAAAAAAGAAAAGAAAAGAAATTCTATAATGCGTTTATACATAATTCGGGGAAAGCTCAACGTGCACTCCCACATTAGTATAGAAGAGCATGCCCACTGGATGTACTACATCTTTATCTTCAACTTCTCTTTGTTTTTAATACATTTCTTCTGCTTTTTCTCTTCCTATTTATCTCCCTCATACCTCACACTGCTGAATTATATTTGATTCATGGGAAAGTTGCTGCTCTTGTCTGTGTTCCAGCACCGTTATGCTCTCATAAAATTTGGCTTTGATTGATTACCTGCATTTCTCTATCCCTTCCTCCTTTTCTATCCCTCTCTCTAGTCCATTAGTTATGGTAATGTTGGGTTAAATACATCTTAACTTGCTGGTGATTGATTTACACTTCCACACCCATAAGCATCCCCTCCCTTTCTTCCCTCCTCTCCCGCACTCTCCCAGCAGTGTAATGCATAACTTTTGAGGACAGATGCTGTTAGTGTTTGGAGCACTCAGGCTAAAAGGCGGGCATAGCTGACAGCTCCACTGTACAGCCTGCTGACAGAGCTCGAGCTGAGGGGTCAGATGATGAATCTGCTGTGTCACACAACTACACAGAACTAAGTGTAATGCTTCTGCCATCAAGACTCACATGGCGTATGTGACAGACACACAACATAGATCTATATATCTATATATATAGCTTGCTTTATTTTTAAAGCAGAGCAAAAAACACACAAAAGACAGTCTTACTAGCTTATTAGAAATGATAGTTGCTGTTTGAGCATTGTCATAATATATGGTAAAGTGCACTGCAGTCAACCTGCAGCATGCAGGGCTTTACCTCACCCTGTTTATAGTATTGATCAGATGAAACTGTCTTGCTCAAAACAATTTGTTATAACACTGAACTGAAATGGCAGTTTTGTTGTTTCATATTTGCAGCAGTCATTTGTAACTATAATTTTTTAGCTATTACTGTGGCTGGAAAATAACATTTTATTGGTTTTCAGCTCACATTTGTCTTGATCATGTAACAGTGCACTGGCCATAAATTAACATTTTTAATCAATCCAATTATACTTTTACTCTTCTTTTATTCCACTCATATTTTTCTTGTTCTTAGTCTGTTTTGCAGAGTTACAGATAATCCAGGTAAGCTGTTGTTTTTGAAAAAACTTCTAGAATTTACAACACTACACACAGCCACTTTATTAGGTACATCTGTTCAGTTACTCATTAACGCAAATACGCAAACAACCAAACACATCCAGGCATGTCGATATGGTCAAGTGGTTCTGAACATGTATTTTAGAAAGTGCTGATTCACACATATTTTACTGCACACATCTCTGGAATGGTCTGAAAAAGAAAAAAAATAATAATATAAATATGTTACCTAGATATTAACTTAAAGTAGGGACCACTTGTCACAAGATATGCAGAAGAGCATCTATGAATGCACAACACAGCTAACAATGAAGGAGATGGGCTACAGCAGCAGAAGACGTCACCTGGTATGCTTCCTGTCAGCTAAGAACAGGAAACGGAGGCTAAAACTTGTATGGGTTCACCAAAAAAGATAAGCAGAACATTGAAAAACCATCTCCTGGTCTCATGAGTCTCAATTTCTGATGAAACATTCAGTTCTGAAAGCAAAAAACAATCCAACCTGGCACTAATAACGTGTAACTAATAAGGTGGCTGAAAAGTGTACAATTCATGACCTCATGCTTTAACTCTAACTAGCTTGCTTTTACCAAACTGACATATTTGATCGAACAAAAGTAAATAAAGATGAATAAATAATATGCCCAGCATAACTACATACTTTCAGGCAATAATATTTTGGCTTGAAAATTTAAAAAAAAAAACATGATTGATGTATTTTCTCTTTTTAAGGACTAATATAAGTTTTTCTTGTGAGGAAGTTAATGGGCCTCAAAGACATTAAAGAGATGTGTACAACTTGAAAGTTTGTTACATTGAAAGAAGAGAAAGAACATGCACGTCGACAGACAAACACACACAACATCCCATTCACACCCTGACAAAACACAGGCTCGTGCTCACATGCTGGGTGTTAATGTGAAAGCCTGAACACTTCAGGGACCCAGTGATCCCCAGATCCATCTCTGACCTGACAGCAGTCCTCCATTAGCCTCACACGCACACGCACACACAAATGCTGCAACAGAATGCACTCCTAAAATACTCTGTCAAACACACATGTGGCACACATACAGGATAGATCTGAGCTGGAGAGCAGGCGTAGAGTCATGCACAGAAGTCACAGAAACCAGACACACAGTTGCTGAACCCAAAACATAGCACTTGGAGTAAAATATCTAAACAATTCCTTTGTGTAATTAAAATTCTCCAAATCATACAAGTAAGCACAAAAACAAAGGCACTTTAGAGAAAGCACATATTAACTAATGCAAATGTGACGCGAGGTCGTCTCACCTGTCGCGGTCCCCAGCTGTGATGTTATGAAGGTGATTAGCAGCTCCATCAGCACATGCCCTCAAGAGAGCTATAGAAAGAAAGACGCATATTTATCCAGTTTGTTTGAAATAAATGGTGCATATTTCTACAATTTCCTCTAAAGGTGCAACAAGATTCTCTTCAAACCTTTACAAACACACATGTAGTGTTGATCAAGTCTCTTATGGATCGGTAACCTGGATACAGTCACTTCAGGATTTCTTGAGTCAATTTTTATTTTACCATATACCATAACTTTAATTTTTTTTCCATATGCCTCATTACCATAATTAAGAAATGTGCCATTATGAGTGCGAAAAATAAAATAATTAAGGAGCGTGTATATTTAGATATGCTATCATTATGAACCAGCTCACACGCGACATCTTTCCACTGTCACTTCTAATAAATGTAATTCACACTCGCTCTTTTTATCCCCGAAAAGTTTCCTTTCAAAATGTGTCAAGTGTTGTTGTTTTTTTTTTCAAAAAACACATTTATACAAGGGACTTATATAACATTAACAATGTGTTATTTTTAACAAAGTACTTTGAACGCCAACATCAGCATTCCAAAGGTTTTTTGATAAATGGATTTACTTCAATCACTGCAGAAATGTACAAAGTTTGAATAAGGTCCAAATTATTTAGAAAGAAACCACTTTCTCCCAATGAAAACATTACAAGCGGCGCGTTCCACAGTGCCAGCAAAGCATTATGGTTAAAGCTATTTGACCCTTTAAAAGGGAAAGGCAGCGAAAGAGCACTTATCTTTTTAGCTTTAAGTAACACTCAAATGATGGGATTATTTGCCATTCTTAAAATATTATTCAAGTTGCACTAAATTAGATGCAAACCATTTGCAAATGTATGCTCTCTCTCTCTCTGCTTCTATTCTATTCAAATTTAACACGCAACCTATTTTTTAAGAGCCCTTTTCTGTTTAGGGCTGCCGTGTTCACACAAGGGAAAACTTCAAAGGATCAGCCAAAGTTTTACTTTCACCTTGTTTAAAACTAACTAAAGCCTGCACCACAGAGACGGGCAACACTCGTGCATTTTTATGTCTCTAAAGCTTTCTTTTCAAGAACTGTGTCCATTCCCCCAACCCAGTACTTTTCATACGCTTGATATAACTCTGTGTTGTGTTTGGAACACGGAACCCCCCAAAGTTTACTTCAGATTTAATGTGAACTTAGAAAAGACGACATTAGTCTAAATAAAGTGGTATTTAGCGTTTGAATATTACTTTGCATTCCTAGGTGTTTCATTATTAACTAAACAATGCTGAAAAGATGTTTGGCTGTGGTATAAAAAAAAAAAAAAAAAAAGGAAAAAAAACTCACACTCCTGGAGAAAGACGCACTGATTTTCACACATCATACATGCACATACTGAGTGAACTGTGACAAGAAATACAACAGATGTACAACAGTGTCAACTTGAAATAGGTGCTAAAACCGACTTCCATTACTTTTACATATGGCACAACTTTTAACACATCAGCAGCACCGTGGCTTCTAAAAATACGTGAAGGACTTAACAATGTACATCACACCTACATACTGTAAATCACATTTAAACGTATGCTAAATTGGACGCAATTAGCGAGATAAAAGGAGAAGAATGATTATTCTCACATTCTGAGTCTAACTCTCCTCACCCTTAGCTCTTAAAGAGTGACAACGCAGATGCATTTGCACTGATGTAAATAAGACACTTATACGGAAGGTACTGCTTTTATTCATAACCTCCACCACCTGCTGCCGATGTTTCACGTCAAGAAATGATTGGAATGTAAATGACTCATTATCTCTGACAGAGAGCAAAGGCTGAGAAACTTTTCAAATGACAACTCCTCAAAAAACAGAAACTTTCCTTTAAGACCGGTGACAGACTGTGAAGCTATCAGTCATTATCTGTGTATAAGTGTGCACACACACACAGACACTGAATAATTTTCAGACTTCACACAAATTTGAGAACAGTAACTTCTGTCTGTCAGTTGTTTTTTTTGCAGCTCTGTCTATATTGCATTCCGTTTAAGCGTACAAACACATGTGGTTACAGTAAATCTAAAAGCCTTACCAACATCAGAAAAATGTTTCAAAATGATGTATTGTCATTTGTAGCAATGATTATTACATGCAATAGCGTGGCTATATTTATTTTACTTGTAGTGATCTGGTAATCTCGACACATTCAAGTTGTAAGAAAAAGAGCTGCTAGTCCGTCACTCAGTAACACTTTAGAGCCGGAGACTTCTCCTAGACAATACTTGTTTAGATGTGCAGTACTTCCAGTAGTGTCTAAAAGTCCATTTTAACTTTACATGACTTTAAAATGCAAATAGAAATTTTTATAAAAGATTGTTTTTACAGTACAACCTCCTGCCTGACTTAAAATAAGGACAGTTTACAGCAATGAGTTAAAAAAAAAAAAAAGCAATCTCATAAGATAATAATTATTGAGCAGTTGTGTAACAGCACAAAACCAAAAGCTATATATTTGTTAAGCAAGCAAGAAACTACCTGTTCTTAACAAGTGTTAGCATGACTCTGCTCAATAGGCGACCAATTAATTTGTTATATTTACAGTTTATTTCGAGTAAATGGGTTAAGAAAGTGTCCTATAACATTTTGCTGCAAATACAATGATTTCTTGGCGAATGATCATCTTGCAAGAGGTGTTTGCAGACACACAGACAGTGATTTGGTGTATTATAGCGAGAATGTTTGCATGTTAAATGTCAACTGATGTAGAGGCCTGAAATATATTTCTCCATAGCTTTGCCAGTGGTCAGAAAATTGCTTGAGGAGCATTTATTTGGTCAGACAGTCAGCTGACATGTGACTGATAATCCCCATTTAAAGACATTTTATACATGATACGGTGTGGCCATGCTGAAGTAAACTGAATTAGCGTCAGCCCTTGGGACCAGGTTGGATCAAATGCCTGTGACTCACTGGCTAATTTTCTATGGTTACTTGTATTTTTTCCCCTCTAAATTGTCACTGTGAAGGCCTTTGCTTCATTTCTGCATGTCAAATACTCAGAAAGTGAGTTCTCCTGTTTTAACATTGCTATTCTTGACACAAATCCTTTAGAGTCAGAAATGTGCACACAACAGATTTCTCAATGTCCCATTTGTCTTCATCACAGTAAATGGCTCAAGTGGGTAAACCGAACTTGAGAAAGATTATCTCTCCATCTGTACTCTATCCACAGGCAGTAAAATCTAATTACTGTTATTCTGTTGTTTGAAGAAGACCCCAAATACAACAATTAACTCATCTTCTCCTTCACATTAGGGCATTTGAGCCTAACAAGCTCATTCACATACATACAAACACAGCGGCATAAAGGTTTTGGGAACCCAGAATTTATGTCACTGTTAAACTGATGTCCAAAAGGCATGATGTTAAATATTAAATATTACTTTCTACATTATTAATTTTATTTTGTATATTTTCAAAGGAAAGAGTGAAGGAGTGCTATGCTAAAGTTTGGGCAGAGTTCAAGTTTTCATAACTTTTACCAAGGTCTCAGACCTTTATTACTCTGTTAAGGCTATGGCTTCACAGAGTGTCCTTTTAGCCTGTTCAAAAGCTAAGAGGGCATAGGATGCAAATTTCAAAGTTATACATAGTGCTTAGACCTTGTCCTATCAATCAGCAGTCATGGGTTCGTCTAAGCAGCTGCCTAGCATTCTGAAAATAATTGATGCCCATAGAGAACAGACGAAAAATGGTTTTGGGGTAGCCACTTGCTCATTTAATAATACAGTTAAGAAATAGAAATTAACAAGTATGTGGAGGTCATGCTAAGATCTATCAGAGAATTTTCCAAGAAAATTGTTCACAGGATGAGCAGAGTGGCAAATCACTTATTTCTCCAAAAGAGGCCTTGAAGAAGATTTTGAAGCCTCTGTAGTGGTGGTGTAACAATCTTAATGTATCTTGGAAACCGGGTCTGTGGACTGATAAAGTTATAACAGTTTTGTTTTTTCTGTATTTTTGAAGCAGAAACACATTTGGATTTTAAGAAAAGGCTGAAGAAGTTTGGTGGAAGCATATGGATAACTTGTCTAAGGAGCTTGGAAATAAAAGCGTCTGGACTTTAACAGTTGGTTTACGACACCAACTGTCTGCCATCTATAATCCAGTTTTGAGAACCCTTCCCAGACGCCTTAACACCCACTCACATCCTGGGCCACCTGACCTCAGGAAATCACATGATAGGGAGGGGCCAGGTTTCACAATGAGCTCACCTGAAACCCTGGCTGATTGTGACCCACACCCATTTTCACACCTCGGCTCATGTGATTAGGTAGAGGATCATCAGGGGGTCCTTTGTCCCTCTTTGGAGGGAAACTTCCACTGGGTTTAAATCTGGGACTCTCCACCATTTTACCCTTAGAACTGAAGCTTCTTGGATGAGAGGTGAAACGTCTTCAAGCAACTTAAACAAGTCCAGACGCTTTTCTTTCCAAGCTCCTTAGACTACGATGACCTGGATGACTGACAACCTTCACAGACATATGGATAAATTAATCATCCTTTGAGCTTGTGTTTAGTCCAGTCAGTGGCACAGGAAAGAGTTCATTGGCAGAGCAATGAATGGATTCAATCAAAATCAGCAAATTTTGTAATCAAACTTCATATTGTCTAAAAATGCTGAAAAAAGGATGAAGAGGATGGCTTCTATAACAGGAAAATCATCCTCTAAAGCCCACCAATCGACTAGGTAGGGTGACTCTTTAGGTAAGACATGACTGAAAGTCTGTGGATAGACATCCAAAAAGCAGGGCATCAGGGGAACAAGCATGACCTGAAGCCTTTTGTAGTGAATAATAATAATAGAAAATCCTTCAAAAAGAATCAAAAGACTCTTATCTCTACAAAAAGTACTTACAAGCTTACCAAAAAGGAAGTTATTGTATACTCGCAATGTGTTGTGAAAAAACGTTTGCTTTAAGGTTTTTTTTGAGGGGGGGGGGATTCTTTGTATTTTTTATTATTTCAAACTGTGAAAGCCAGAAATTAAAAAA